ATTATAGAAATGTTGGGGGGGGGGGAAGCAGCTTTTCAGGTGAGCAGCAGTGTATCCTCAGAAAAAGAAATCTTCTCCCATTGATTTCTGAATGCTGCAGATTTTTAATGTTGTGTCTGTTTATTCTTTTGCATAAAAGTTGGCTTCCTAGTCTGAAGGAGAGCAACAGTATTTGCATATATTACTTTGGATGAGATACAGATAAATGAGTTACTGGTGATGTTAAGTTCTCCAAACTTTTTGTGGGAAAGGAACCAAGGAGTCCTGCTTTAATCTGTTTCAAACACTGAAGGCACAGAAATGCTGCTTCCCCCCACACACACACACACACAAACATATCTATCATATTGGCAGTCCTCTTACACAATCATGTTCAAACTCCCCCACCCCACCCAATGCCTCCAGTTTAGGGTTGCAATAGAAAGCTTGGGCTGCCTGTTGCTATCCATTACACCTCTATTTAAAAGAAAGGGACATTTTTCTTCTGTTGGCAACCCCACTAAGAAAACAGCATGGTATACCTTCTGGACTTCTTTGTCCTGTCTAATTTTTAAGTTATTTTCTGTAAAATAGAAGTGTCTTGAAGCCAACTTAAGCTATCAGAGGAGCTATCAGAGAGCCATTTGGTGTAGTGGTTAAGTGCGTGGACTCTAATCTGGGAGAACCAGTTTGATTCCCCACTCCTCCACTTGCACCTGGCTGGATAACCTTGGGCAAGCCATAGTTCTGTTAGAGCTGTTCTGGAAATAGCTCTCTCATCCCCACCTACCTCATAGGGTGTCTCTGTTGTGGGGAGGGGAAGAGAAGGGAGTTTGTAAGCTGCTCTGAGACTCCGAGTGAAGGGCCAATCTTTTGAATCCAATCTTTTCTTCTTTTGTTATTTTGCTGTGACAGGGTAGTATTGCTTCCACAATGAAAGTTATAAGACTTACATATAAGGGGGGGGGGATAAACTATGCTTTATATAATAAAGTAATTATTCAACAGGGTATAAAGACATACCAACTTCTGGGCTACGTAGAATTCTTCATCAGGCCCAATGGAAAAGAACTTGTTAATTCCTAGCTATGTATTGTTAGAGTTGCCAACAGACCTGGGGGGGAAATGCCCTATCTCTTTAATAGAAGCTTAAATGTTTGGCTGTGGGAAGCTGGCGCTTTTCATGGCACAGAGGAAAATAATATCACTTTGTTAATAAATACCCTATTAAGCTTCTGTTAAAGGGACAGGACATTTTTCTCTCTCTCCAGGCAGTTGTTAACTGTAGACTCCACTTTTGTGTCAGAACTCCTAGAAACAATCATCTCCTTATTACATTAAAAAATACACACACTCCATATTCCTATGAGAAATAAATTAACCTTTTATTCGTAGCTCCATGATTTATATAGCCAACCAAATATGTGCAGAGAAAATATACCAGATGGAGAATTACTGCCCTTTCTGCCAGAGTATTGTTTGTTACGCTCTGATTAGTGGCATTTCAAAATCCAAAATCTCTTCCTTCCAGCAAAGAAGGGACTCGTTCCCCAAGTCACTGGATTTCTACTTTCTTCTCCTGATTAGCCACTGCATCAAGCATCTTCCCCCAGATTCAAGTTACAGGACTGAAGAAATCGTACCCTGCTTAATTTCTCCCTCTCACAAAATAAACAGAAATCTTATTCGCAAAAGGGTCTGACTCATGTCTATGGGAAGAAGGATTGCCAACTGACCAGGGAAAAAAGCTGTCTGATCTGCTCTTGCACCCTGAGCAGTATCCTGACATATAAGAATTAGCAAATGATGCTGTTCATAGCATGGGGATAGTTGCTAATGGCCAAGGGTGAAAATTGCTGTTAAAAACGCAGCTACAGCGGCCAATGGAAAAGTTGTCAGTCTTTGTCATATATTTGCATTCCTTCTGTTCATGTTTCTAAAACAAGACTTTTTTCAAAAAGTGCACCTACATTTTAAAGCCAAAAAAAAAAAATAGAACTCTGCATTACTGGTATCCCATCTTCATTACTTTGCAGCTGACCTCTTGCTTAAGCTTACTTTAGCAGGAGAGCTCTTGCATTGCACTCTGGTTTGATCAGTCCAATGCTGGTTGATTAGGGTGCTATTGTGAAGGCAGGGAGGCGCTCAGGGCAGCCTACCTCACTCTTTCCTCCTCCATTTTATCTTGACAACAATCTTGTGAGGTAGGTTAGGGTAAGAGAGTAAGTAGCTGGCCCAAGGTCGCCCAGCAAGATTCCAGAGTGAAGACGGGATTTGAACCCAGGTGTTCCAGATCCAAACCAGATTGGTGTAGTGGTTACGAGCGCAGACTCTAATCTGGGAGAACCGGGTTTGATTTCCCCGCTCCTCCACATGCAGCTGATGGTGTGACGTTGGGTCAGTTACAAGTTCTTTCAGAGCTGTTCTCTCAACAGCAGTCCTCGAAGAGCTCTCTCAGCCCCACCTACCTCACAGGGTGTCTGTTGTGGGGAGGGGAAGAGGAAGGAGATTGTAAGCCACTCTGAGACTCCAAGTGAAGGGCAGGATATAAATCCAATCTCCTCTTCTTCTTCTTCAAACCTGAACTCTAGCCAGTACACCACAGTGGCTCACTATTTAATACTTAATAATGTTTACATTTTTTGCCTGTCTCCCGATCAACAAGATTCAAATCGGCTCCCAACATTAAAACTAGCTAAAATCTCAGCCTGTCGAAATTTGATGCAAAGAAAAAGGCAAACCTTTACCCATCCTCCTGACTGACCTGCATTCACAAGGTACCTCAAGCATGTCGGAAAAGCTCTTTGTAAGGGGTAAAGTAAAAGGTAAAGGTTCCCTTGCTCGAAAGCCAGTCGAATCCGAATCTAGGGTTGCGGAGCTCATCTCCATTTCAAAGCCAAAGAGCCAGCGCTGTCCGAAGACGTTTCCATGGTCATGTGGCCAGCATGACTAAACACCAAGGCGCACAGAACGCTGTTACCTTCCCACCAAAGTGGTACCTATTTATCTACTTGCAATTTCTTGCTTTCGAACTGCTAGGTTGGCAGGAGCTGGAACTAGAGACGGGAACTCACTCCGTCTTGCGGCACCCAGGTCTCGAACTGCTGAACTACCGACCTTCCACAGCCTGCAGTTCAGCGTCTTAACCACTTGAGCCACTGCAGCTCCATTGCAAGGGGTGCAACATGCAAAAACCAAAACTGTGGGTGATGCTTCTGCCAGCGGTGGAAATGCAGTGATAGAAAAAGCCTAAGCGCTTTTTCTGCTTGGTGTGCGCTTGTTAATGGAAGACATGGCTGGTTAGCCTATGTTTGGCCATCACCTGATGACTGTAGCATGCATATGTGAATGGGATACTACAGATGAGTTACACAATGCTACCCTTGCAGTGCTGTTCTGGTGAGTGCCAGTTCACATATTCTGATGCTGGTTGCGGTATACTGTGATTGCGGTATACTGGTTTGAATTTTGCCTCTTCTATGAACTCACCCAGGTGGTTTTAGGTAAGCGGCTGTCCTTTGATCCCTCCATTTAAACAATCTGGGGGCGACAATCATCCCAACCTGCCCATATTTGTGATGTATTCCTTTTCTTTTTTATTCCTTGCATTCCTCTTTTTCTGGTGGAACGAGCTCCCAGAGGAGATCCGGGCCCTGCGGGACTTGGCATAGTTCCGCAGGGCCTGTAAGACGGAGCTCTTCCGCCAGGCCTTTGCATAGGAGCCGCCGCCGCCATTGTGCCACCACCGAGTTGCCATCTACGACGGTGGATTAGATCTATAAAGTGAACCGGCCCTGGGAAGACGCCTAGGTGACCAAGAACCTATGTTGCCAGGCTAGGTTGATAAATGGATCCCATCTTGGAGCGATAAGTCAACATCTAGAGCACCGCACTTTATTTATTGATTGTTTTTATACTGTTTTAGTTGTTTGTTATGGCATTTGCCGCTGTTGGAAGCCGCCCTGAGCCCATTTGGGGAGGGCGGGATACAAATCTAATAAATAAATAAATAAATAAAATAATACCAACAGAGAATGCTGACCTCCTTAGCAAGAGTATCATGAGCAGGGAGTTACAGGCACAAATGATACCTGGGAGGACAGTGGGCTCCCCGAAGAGGTGAGAGGGCCCCCCCCTTCTTGGAGATTTTCAGGAGGCGCTGCAAGACCTGCCTGCTTGCCAGGGCTTTTGAGGGGTTTGAATGACAGGCATCTTTTAAGAGAAGGAGAAGAGACCTTTCCCTTCCCCTCCCCTCAGCCTGTGGGGTAGGTGGGGCTGAGAGAGCTCTTTCCAGAACACCTCTGACAGAACTACGGCTTGCCCAAGGTCATCCAGCAGGTGCAAGTGGGGGAATGGGGAATCAAACCCGGTTCTCCCAGATTAGAGTCCGCGCACTTAACCACCACACCCAACCGGGAGTGGGGAGAGATTTGGGGCTCGCTATTTTATCTTTGGTTTTAGCTGGGGTTGTTTTAACTGTTATTGAGAGCCAGTTTGGTGTAGTGGTTAAGTGCGCGGACTCTAATCTGGGAGAACCAGGTTTGATTCCGCACTCCTCCACTCGTAGCTGCCAGATGACCTTCGGCAAGCCCTAGTTCTGGCACAGCTGTTCTTGAAAAAGAGCAGTTTCTGTCAAGAGCTCTCTCAGCCCCACCTACCCCACAGGGTGTCTGTTGTGGGGAGGGGAAGGGAAAGGAGTTTGTAAGCCGCTCTGAGACACCTTTGGGTAGTGAAGGGCGGGGTATAAATCCAGTCTCCTCCTCCTCCTCCTCCTATTGTAAGCTGCCATGAACCAAGAGGAAAGGCTGGATATAGAGGTTTTAATTGATTGATTAATATTTTGCCATTTTTTTTAGCATCTGGCATCTTGCTCATCCCCTCCGGCTCCCCAGACAGTCCAGACCCCCTGAAATTTAGTAGCCCAGTTCTCCCTTCTTGGCTGCCCTGGTTGTAAGGGCTACCAAGAAAACAGACGTGAAGTGTTTTGGATACGCAGAAACTCTATGTAAATGCGAAGTGTGATTATTAGAAGGAAAGTCAAGCACGTGCGAAGCAGTGCCTCTGTCTACTGCAAAGGTGGCCATTTGAGCGGGTGATACTTTACTGAAGAACATCAGGAAAGCTGGTCTGCGGACTCTGTGGAGGGATCGTCCGGGATTTCCAACATGGTGGTATTTGAGGGCGGGAGCTGCTTTGCCCTGAGCGAGGAAGGGACTTCCAAAATGCAGGCCCTGAGGTCGGCGTAGGCCTGAGGAAGGGTCCCGACGCTGACCCAGCGGTCGTAGTTTGGGTTGTAGCAGTGGATCAGGTGGGTATCGCGGTAGGTATTGTGGCTGTAGCCCCCCAGGATGTAGAGCTCCTCGTGCAGGACCGTGGAAGCGGCGATGACGTGGGCCTGTGGCAGAGGAGTGAAGGCAGCCCACGTATCCTGGCCCAGGTTGTACACCTCGCAGGCCAGTTGATCAGCGTAACCGCCGTGGCCGTCCCGCCATCGCAGGCCGCCAGCCACGTACAGACGTCGGTCCAGTGCTTCCATGATGTGGCCAGCTCGCTCCTCGATCATGGAGGCCCGTGGGATGGCTGGGCCCCCAGGGCGATACTGGATCAGGACTGAGAGGCAGCGGCATGAGCCGTCGCTGCCCCCAGAGATATAAATGGATCCATCCAGGACGCAGGCGGCATGGCCACAGACAGCAGACGGCAGAGGCTCACATGATCTGTGGGGAGGAAAGCGAGGGCATGAAGGAGGAACGGCAGAAAGGATGGCAGATAAGGGGACAGCTCTGCTTTGCTAGATCACAGGAAAGGCTCATCTAGCAGCAGGGCTATTTTTGGGCAGGAACGCACAGGAACGGAGTTCCGGCTGGCTCTCAAGTTGGCCACACCCAGCAGAAACTCATTAGCATAATAGGCCACACCCAGCAACAGAAACTCATTAGCATATTAGGCCACACCCCCTGACTGCACCGCTCATTAGCATATTAGGCTGCATTCCCATGTTACCAGAAGTGTGGTCATCCAGCCACACCCACCTTTTGCTTCTTATTCTGTTTACCTTGTTTGTTGTCAAAACCCAGGGCTTTTTTTGATGCAGGAACTCCTTTGCATGTTAGGCCACACACCCCTAATGTAGCCAATTCTAATGAGTTTCTGCTGTTTTCTACAAAAAAAGCCCTGTCTAGCAGTCCATGTGTGGCCAACCAGAGGCCTCCGGGAAACTTACAGTCACGTTATTCCCCCGTTTGATCAATCAGTTTAGATATTTATATCCTGCTTTTCTTCCCAATGGGGACCCAATATGACTTATAACAACATCCCCCCCTCATCCATTTTTATCCAACCCTGTAAAAAAATAATAGTAATGACATCAACCCTGTGAGGTAAGTTAGGCAGAGAATGACTGGCCCAAGGTCACCCAGTGATAAGAGTTGTCAAGCAGTGCTTGGCAACTGGCAGCAGGGTTGTGGGGTACAGTATCCCAGAAGGAAAAAGAAAAAGAAGGCCTTATCTACTTACAGGGAGTTCTGACCATAGAGTTCTTGGTGATTCCTAGAGCTACACAGAAGAGAGAAGGGTGGCTCTAGGATTGCCAGAAACTATGGCACTCTTAACATAGAATTTCTGGCAATTCCTAGAGCTACCCTTGTCACTCCCCCAGGATGATTATTACCCCCATTTGGCCCCAGTTGTCACCCTCCGATCACATGAGGACTGGGGGGCAAGGGCCACAATTACTTGAAGGTCTCCTGCCATAAGCGGACAAATGGAAATCCTACCTGGTGAGCTTCCATGAGAGAGGGGGTTTTTGAACCTGGTTTTCCTAGATCCTAATCCGGCATCTAACCACTACACTGCACTGTTTTTAGCATCTGTAATTGGTATTCTGATTCTTGGGGCACGGAGACTCCTTTTTCAGCTAACGGCTGTAGATCATTCCCTGCAGAAATTTGTCGCCATGATCAGTTTTTCTTGTGGAAGGGAGGATAGTGCAGGAAATGATTTTTTTTAACGCGTGGGACATTTATTGTATATATGTAATGGAACAGTCTGTCCATCCGTGCCCCCCCCCATATTTGAGTGATTTAGTTTGGTCCTATTGGGTGGAGCTCCTGTTTTTGTTTCCAGTTTTGCATGTTAGCTGTAGTTGTTGGCTGTAGGAGTTGTCCTCCTGCAAATAAACGATTGCTATTTTGAGCCAGCTTGTCTCTGCTGAATAGACCTGAGAACAGGTGCCTGAGCGAATTCTCTAACCTGGGAACCCACGGCCAAAGGAGGACATTGCAAAAAGAAATGTAAAAGGCAAAGAGCAACAGATGACAGAAGTTAGCCTGGGTGAGACACAAGGGAATATGAAGCACAGAGTAGAGGGAAATAAATGGGGGTGCTGCTGGGACCGAACCCCAGCCTCTCACCTCCAAGCATTGGTATGTGGATCGTAACACTCAGCTGAGTTGAAGCAGTAGGCATCTCTGGAACTTCCTCCAAGCGCATACAGAAGCCCATCTTGGAAGACGGCCGGGAAATAGCTCCGGAAGCTTGTCATATCAGCCAGACGTTCCCACCTCCCACAGAAAGGATCGAACCTGCAGCAGGGGAGGACCAAAGAACATGAATGCCCCTTTGAACGTGAATCCCCCAACGCCATCCTTCTTACTAAAATAGGGTTGCCAGGTCTGGGTTGGAAAATACCTGGAGACTTTGGAGGTGGGGCCGGGGGAGGGTGGGGTTTTGGGGGGGGGGGAGAGAGTCCACAGAGTCCACCCTTCAAAGCAGCCATTTTCTCCAGGGGGGGCTGATCTCTGTCAGCTGGAAATCAACTGCAAAAGTGGGAGATCTCCAGGCCCCACCTGGAGGCTGGCAACCCTACACTAAAATGAAATGTGCAAAGGGGGGGGGGATCAAGTTTGCCTGGAGACAGTGTTCTCAGACCTCCTAGTCACTAACAACTGACAGGGTGGGTTACTTGTGGCTAATGAAGAAAAAAGATAGCTTAGAGTGATTAACCCATGGAATTCACTGCCACAGGGGGTGGTGGCAGCTACAAGCATGGACGACTTCAAGGGGGAATTAGATAAGCATATGGAGCAGAAGTCCATCAGTGGCTATTAGCCAAGGAACTCTGGGGCAAGTGATGCTCCGTATTCTTGGTGCTTGGGGGGGGCAACAGTGGGAGGGCTTCTAGTGTCCTGGCCCCACTGCTGGACCTCCTGATGGCACCTGGTATTTTTGGCCACTGTGTGACAGAGTGTTGGACTGGATGGGCCATTGGCCTGATCCAACATTGGCTTCTCTTATGTTCTCTTAGCTTGTACCTGCTCAGACGCACTCCAGTGTTCATGACTATTTCATCAGTGCCAATGCTGATCTCTGTCACGGAACATGGCTCCCTGGATGAAGTCTGCCTATTTCTGTTTCCCAAGATCCTTTGCCCTCAAGTGCCCTGCATCGTGTGGGATAGCCTTTGCATGTTTTCCCTTTTTTTTCCTCAGTGAATCTACAACATCCACCTGTCCACAGCTTTCAAACTCCTCGACAGCCAAGCTTGGCCAAGGACAGGAGGCCCTTCTTCCCACTCATACAGCTTGACAAGCCAGAACAGACAGTCATAGATTCGTAGAAGTGTCACACATACACACATCCTCCCTAAATTGGAGGTTGGCCAATCATTAACAACCAGTGGTGGATTAAGGTGTTTTGCCACACACACATACACACCCCACAGTCCCAACAGGGGATAACCTTCCTTACCCAATGACATTTATCTATGCCGGTGCTTTCTGTATTGCGCTCATAACTTCTTAGCTAAGTATATCTAGACTATATTAGGTTATTATATTGAAGGTTTTAACTTAACCGGCACTGATTGATGCCTGGGTGTGGAATACATGGTTTTCACTTGGAGCCTGGAACAAATAATACCTTTCTAATTTTCCCTTAGCAGCTGTGGTGGCTCAAGTGGTTAAGACGCTGAACTGCAGGCTGTGGGAGGCCGGTGGTGCAGCAGTTCGAGACCCGGGTTGCCGCATGACGGAGTGAGCTCCCGTCTCTAGTTCCAGCTCCTGCCAACCTAGCCGATCGAAAGCAAGAAATTGCATGCAGATAAATAGGTACCGCTTCAGTGGGAAGGTAACAGCGTTCAATGTGCCTTGGTGTTTAGTCATGCCGGCTACGTGACCACGGAAACGTCTTCGGACAGCGCTGGCTCTTCGGCTTGGAAACAGAGATGAGCACCGCAACCCTAGAGTCGGACTCGACTGGCTTTCGAGCAAGGGAACCTTTCTAATTTTCCCTTAAAAGTCAGAAGGATGTGTCTAATTAAAGTTTGGGGGACACACGTAAAGCTGCCATATACTGAATCAGATCACTGGTCCGTCAAGGTCAGTATTGTCTACTCAGACTGGCAGCTACTCTCCAGGCTCTCAGGCGGAGGTCTTTCGCATCACCTACGGCCTGCTTTTTTTAAAATTGGAGCTGTCGGGGATTGAACCTGGGACCTTCTGCATGCCAAGCAGGTCTATCACCGAGCCAGGGAACTTTCACTTACCATTCGGCACTGTGACTTTTAGCAGTTCGTGCATTGCTTTACTTCATCCAAATGGATTTGAATGTTCATGGGGCTGTGTTAAGGGAATGTCCTCTCACAAGCGGATCTATTGACCACTTGAAGGGTTATCTCCCCCAGCTTCTGGGCAGGTGGGCAGACAGGAGTCCCTCGGGAGCTTGGTGTCATCCAAAACCTGCCACCTGAAGCAATTGCCTCCATTCACCTCATTACAGAGTTGGCCCTACTAGCAACCAAGAGATATCAGATACCAAAGGGGGAAACGGGTCCTTCAGGTCCACTGATGGAAGCTGCAGCCAGTCAAGAGAAGCCAGGAGTCCTCTCCCTACTCAGCTATGTATGGCTTCCAGGCCAGTCTTTCGATTGGCAGGAGGAGAGACCTAGATACATCCTGAAATTCAGGCCACTTCCCGTTCTGGAGATTGTCTGTTGAGTTTTAAACCATCTCCGAGACCTGAATAGGCCTCTGGCCTCTTTTCACTGCTCCTCGCCTTCTATTTTGGCTGCTTTCCCAGTCACTGGCCTCAACTACAACCTTCATAACCACATTAACTATATGTATTTTTTTTTTTTCCTTGGAGCTGCGGTGGCTCAAGTGGTTAAGACGCTGAACTGCAGGGTGTGGAAGGTCGGTAGTTCAGCAGTTCGAGACCCGAGTGCGCCGCATGACGGAGTGAGCTCCCGTCTCTCGTTCCAGCTCCTGCCAACCTAGCAGTTTGAAAGCAAGAAATTGCAAGTAGATAAATAGGTACAGCATTCCGTGCGCCTTGGTGTTTAGTCATGCCGGCCACATGACCACGGAAACGTCTTTGGACAGCGCTGGCTCTTCGGCTTGGAAATGGAGATGAGCACCGCAACCCTAGAGTCGGATTCGACTGGCTTTCGAGCAAGGGAACCTTTACCTTTATATATATTCCAGTGGTCCCTATTGACAAGGGACAGTCCCTCTTCTCCAGTTTGGTGTAGTGGTTAAGTGCACGGACTCTAATCTGGGAGAACCGGGTTTGATTCCCCAGTCCTCCACTTCCAGCTGCTGGATGACCTTGGGCAAGAGCTGTCGCTGAAAGGGCAGTTCTTGAATGTCTGTTGTGGGGAGGGGAAGCCAAAGGAGTTTGTAAGCCGCTCTGAGACTCTGAGTGAAGGGCGGGGTATAAATCATCCTCCTCCTCCTCCTTCTCCTCCTCCTCCTCCTCCTCCTCCTCCAGTTCCTGTGTTGTGGTTGTGGCGGCGGCTGCCAAGCGACACTTTTACAAAACTGCACAGCCAGTCAGAAACCCCGCTGGGCAAAAGGCCCACCTGGCCGCCCCACCCACGTTCAAAAACATTTGGCAGGTGCCAGGAGAAGTATTGGCAGGCACCCTAATGCCCACAGGCACTGTGCTGGGGACCCAGGCCATTCTTCAGGCTTCAGCACCCTTTGTTGGGGGTGGGTCTGGAAATTAAAATCTCAGAATGGAGAGTGCCTCTTTTGTCTCTACAGTATGTGAAGCGGAAGACTTTGTGAACGCTAAAGCGCCACACAAACGGCCTCTTTGTGCACTGGAGCTGCTTGGACCTGCTTTGAACGGTCTATGACCCATGGTGGAGGGCGGGCGGCCTGGTTTGGCCCAATCGATCTGAGAGGCTAAGCAGGGTCGGTACTCGGAAGGGAGACGGATGAGGAAAGACTCGGCCGAGGATGGCAAGGGCACCCCACCCCCCTCTGGTTCTCACTTGCCTTGAAAGCACCTTGCTGGAGTTGTCCTATGTTAGGTGGGACTTGACAGCACTAATGTAGACATTACCCGGGCTATTTTGGGCAGGAACGGAGTTCTAGCTGGCTTCAGAGTTGGCCACACCCACTGCAGCCAAAATCTCTGCATGTGTGGCTACAGAGGGAAGGCCTGGAGAGCGACCACCCCCTGATGACTCCAAGGCGGGCGGGCCAGGGGGGCACCAGCCTTTCCCAGCCTGTCCAAGGGCCGGCTTGCCCAGGCTCCCCGCAGCCGCAGGGCACCTGGGCAAGCCAAGGAAAGGAATGGGGGCATGGCCTAATATGCTAATGAGCTGCACTGTCAGGGGTGTGGCCTGATACGTTAAGGAGTTCCTGCTGGGCTTCTTCTACAAAAAAAGCCCTGGACATTACCCATTGCAGACAGTTGTGTTCTGTGAAAAAGGTGAAAGGTAAAGGTTCCCTTGCTCGAAAGCCAGTCGAATCCGACTCCAGGGTTGCGGTGTTCATCTCCGTTTCAAAGCCGAAGAGCCAGCGCTGTCCGAAGACGTTTCCATGGTCATGTGGCCGGCATGACTAAACACCAAGGCGCAGGGAACGCTGTTTCCTTCCCACCCAAGTGGTACCTATTTATCTCCTTGCAATTTCTTGCTTTCAAACTGCTAGGTTGGCAGGAGCTGGAACTAGAGACAGGACTCGGGTCTCGAACTGCTGAACTACTGACCTTCCACAGCCTGCAGTTCAGCGTTTTAACCACTTGAGTCACCACAGCTCCTATGTGTTCTGTTAGGATGTCTTTAACCCAAATGGAAAAAAACCCCAAACCTCTCCTAGTTTTTTTAAGGAGTGGAAGATAGGCTGTGGTGGACTAGATGACTGCAGAGCCACTGACAATGAGCCATGGGAGTGTGGTGGTCTGTGGCAATCTGGCTGTTACAAGCATGTCCCTAGTTCATCCATGAGCTTCTGGCGGGCTATAATTACCAGCCAGGGCTTTCTTTGTAGAAAAGCCCAGCAGGAACTCATTAGCATAATAGGCCACACCCAACAGCAGGAACTCATTAGCATATTAGGCCACACCCCATGCCTTCCCTTGGCTTGCCCAGGCAAGCTGGCCCTTGGAGGGGAGGCGTTTTAAACTGCCTTCCCTTGGACAGGCCGGGTAAGGCACAGGGAGGCATTTAAATGCCTCCCCGATCCTTCCAGAGCCCCCCGCCCGACTGCCCGCCTCAGAGTCACCGGGGGGGGGGGCCCGCTCTCCGGGCCTTCCCTCTGTAACACACGCAGAGGTTTTGGCTGTAGTGGGCGTGGCCAACTCTGAAGCCAGCCGGAACTCCATTCCTGTGCGTTCCTGTGCGTTCCTGCCCCAAAATAGCCCTGATTACCACCAAACCACAGCTTACTAATTGGGCTCCCATTGTGGGCGTCAATGAAGAGATAATACTGAAAATCCATTGGTGCCTTCCCACCCGTATCCACAATTCTCCTCACTGAATGGAACCAGTAACCCCCTCACCCCCCAACGAGGCCTCCCCTGCCCATCTCACTTGAAGACGGAGCGCATGGAATCCCCAGTCCCGTAGTAGTGTTTCCCACCAAGGATGTACATCACATTGTCCTTGACTGCCACGGCGTGCTGGAAACGTGGCCCTTCCGGGAGTACCCCAAGATGGCGCCACTCGATTTGCTTCACCAGTCCAATGCTGCTGACGAAGCGGTGGGAGATCCAGATGTCCTCGCTGGGGTTGCGAGTGGCCATGTTCTTGGACAGGCAGTCCCCTCCGCTGATGACAATCACCTTCTCAGGGTACCTCACCCGGCAAGGGAGCTGCTCCATCTTGGAAGGACCCGGAGGGAGACTGGATAGGGATTCCACCAGGAGGTCATACAGGCGGCCCGGGGCCGCCATCATGTCTACCACCCGCACTTGCTTAAGCTCCCGAGTGGACATCAAGGGGAACCGGATGCAGCGCATTACTGTCTCGGCACGGTCCATCCGTCCATCCCGGTCGGCATCCAGCCAGCGGAGGGCTCCTTGGAAGGCCTCTAGTTCGTTGAGGACATAAAGGGCATCGGAGCTGAGGATGTCCACCAGCTGGTTGACTGGAAGATCCAAGAACTTGGGCGTGGCTGAGATGCGAACAAAGTTCCTCAGCACGTAGTCGCTTGCGGTGTTTTCCAGCTCGTGGAGGCCATACGCACGGGCGAACGAGAGGACATCGAAGCTGGATTCAGGGCACAGCTCGTGCCGGAAAACGTCTAAGCAGAGCGCCCAGATGCCCGAGACCTGATACTGCAGAGCTGCCTGGGCAGCATCAAAGAGGTCATCCCACCCGCCCGCCACCACACCTGAGTAGGCGAAGGAGACGACCAGGCCCAGATCAGTCAGGGTGAAGCGGGTGCAGAGGGGTGTGTCCTCCTGTCGGGATTCCTTCATGCCGCTGGTGAACATGGCGTGGAAGAACTCGCTGCCACAAGCCAAGGCGAGGCGGTGAACTGGAAGGAAGGAAGGAAGGAAGGAAAGTTGTGAGCGAGCGATTTGGCTGCCGCGTAAATCAGTTTGCTCTGGAGCCCTCCTTCCTGAGCGGAGACAAAAATGTGTGAGCCGGACAGGGGTCATTTCATAGAAAAGGAGGTGCAGGAGCTCATTAGCATAACTCATTAGCATAACTCATTTGCATATGCCACACCCCCTGACATCACCGGAAGTGTGTCAGAAGGCAACACCCACCGCTCAGGCTCCACTGGACTCTTTTGGATTGCTAGCTATTGCTTTGGGGGGGGGGGTAATGTGCAGATCTGTCCTCGCAGAGGAGGGAGAGTTTGTACCTGAATAAAACTTGGTCTTAAAGTTGCCCCTGGACTGTTTTGGACTGGGGGGCCGGGGGGGGGGCTCTGCAACTTACCTGGCTGCTTCTTGCTCTGACTGAGGGCTGCTGGGAGCAGGGGGCGGGGCTTGTTGCATGTCCCCACCCCCTGGGCTCTTTACTGCCGGAGCTCCGCTCCTGAGCGCTCCTGCAGGAAATGACCCCTGGAGCAGGAGGCTAAAAAACGGTGAGCTAGCTCGCACTCACTCAGCTTAGAGGGAACACTGGTCCTAACCCCCAAAACCACTGCTAATCCAGCCCTGGACTTTCCCCTTTATCCTGACCCACACACCCTTTTTCTGTTTGTGTCCTCGACTCCCCATCACCCCTGCCTCGTTCACCTTGATAGGTATGTCCCTCAGCTTTAAGGGCCAGGTCACAGCCAACGCCTTCCTTGTACAGCTCCTCCACCTTCCGCAGCGTCTCCCATTTCTCCTTGGACGGACTCGGCCTCTCCTCCGGCTCTGCCTCAATCAAGACTGCCTTGCAAATCTCAGCAACGCGAGGAACACCCAACGCCTCTGCGGCATCCAACAACTCGCCAGCTGTCTCTGGCATGACTTCTAATTGCCCGGTATAGGCAAAATTCAAAATGGCTTCCCAGCCGTGTGCTGTGGTCACACCGTCCAGCTCCAGCACCTCCTGCTCTCCGCGCTCTAAACGTTGCCGGAAGACAGAGCTGACGGCAGCCAGGATGATACCATGTGCCTCGTAGCTGCTTGGGCCCAAGGTCACCGTCACGTCCAGAAGATGCCGCTGTTCCCTCAGCTGGCACGCTGTCATAAAGAATCCTTCTGCATGGCCCTCGCTCCTCAGCTCCCAGCGCTGCTCGGCGGTGTAACCTTCTGCATCTTCTGGGGGTTTCTTGCCGCCGCATGACATCACTTCCTGTAATGACACCTTTGGGAAGAGTGAGCAGGGAAGGGGGTAAAAGTGGAGGCGGAGGGATGTTATGCTGGCCTTTAGCTACAGTAGGGCTATTAGGGGCTCAATGAAATTGCTGTGCGGTCGGGTTAGAACGGATAAAAGGGAGTCCTTCTTCACCCAAAGAGTGGTTAACACTTGGAATTCACTGCCACAGGAGGTGGTGGCGGCTACAAGCATGGACGGCTTCAAGAGGGAATTAGATAAGCATATGGAGCAGAGGTCCATCAGTGGCTATTAGCCACAAGGTATAGATAGGGACTCTGGGGCAAGTGATGCTCTGTCTTCTTGGTGCTTGGGGGGTGGGGCAACAGTGGGAGGGCTTCTAGTGTCCTGGCCCCACTGGTGGACCTCCTGATGGCACCTGGTATTTTTGGCCATTGTGTGACAGAGTGTTGGACTGGATGGGCCTTTGGCCTGATCCAACATTGGCGTCTCTTATGTTCTTATGTTCACCCCTTCCTTAAAGAGCCAGCCCCCTTCCTTAAAGTCCCCCCCCCCGCTTTTGAGAAGAAGGGGGGTTGCGCACGCCCCTCTCCCGCCCCCTCTGCAAGATTTAAAGGGCCTTTCAGCTGATTGGCAGGGAGCAAATGGCCTGCCAATCAGCTGGAGGGCCCTTTAAATCTTGCAGGAGGGGAGAGAGGGGGGCATGCGCCACCCCCCTTCATTATGGCAAATAATGGCAGCCCCACCAGATTTTTTTTTTGTCCCACAAGCCACAAAATCCTGGCTAATGGGCCTGATGTGGTGGGACTGGAGGCTGGCGTCCAGTCTCAGTAATGCCCTTAACTTTCCCAAACCAAAGCACTGTAAGCAGACAGACCCCCATCTCTCAGGAGGGGTCATTTCAACAGCAGTGTACCCCATCGGGGTGCCCCAGGAGTCTATTTACCAGCCGTCTTCCAGCGTTCCCTCCAAGCTGAGTGAGTGTGAGCTGGCTCACAGGTTTTTTGGCCTCCAGCTCACACATTTTTGTCCGAGCTCAGGAAGGCGGGCTCCAGAGCACACTGATTGATGCAGGAGCCAAATCGTTCGCTCACAACTTTAATGCCAGTAGCTCACAAAGTAGAATTTTTGCTCACGAGACTCCACAGCTTAGAGGGAGCGTTGATCTTGACATCAGTGGACACGGAGATGGATGCCAGCACTGGCAGGCCCCATAATCTTGCCTAGGCAGTGACCCTGGGAAGCACAGGAGACCTTCTTCTGACAGCTGTGACTCTCCCTCCACCCTTCTGACATCTGCATATGCCGAACAATGGCCCTGCCTCGCCCCAGAGCGAAGGCCATTCAACCTGGATCACTAATCCTATCAGTCTCCCCTCACCTTTTCAAACCCGCAATTCTGTCACAACAACAACTCCCATCTCTCCCACCTAACAGGAAAGGAGGGTCACCAGGCAGCATTGCTTCTTTTTGATTGGTTTAATTAGGAATCCACCAGCCTTCGATCCGAGTTCCAGCCCAAACCCTGTTTTACATCCAAAACCCCTCCTAAGAACATCTGTTCCCTTTGTCCATTCCTGGGGACACCATTCAGTCATTCCCAGACACATCTAGCTAATCTTATCAGAAGCACATTGACACCTTAGTTTACACTGGACCTCAACTCTCATGCAAACTGTCACAAGTTTTCCAGGTCTTTGTCTGTCCCGGGAAAGCCATTTTTTGGTGTTGTTTTGAGGCACAAATGTCAGACTGCCTCAGGACACAATTTTCCTATATAAATAGCACTCAGGGCTCAGTCTCCGTGCCTCTGCCCCTTCCTTCCATCTTCACAGCCTCTCTCCCATGGACTTCTCCACATCTGGATAGGTAATTATAATTCCCAACAGCCTTCTATTATTCCTGCTCACCTCTGTATTTCCAGCACTTGTGTTTTAACTTGTATTTTATTTCTGTATGTGTGCATTTGATTAGGATGTCTTCTTTTAATCAAAACAACCCTTTTGGTTAAACAATGAACTGGTTATTGAGAGCTGGTTATTGAGAGGGGGGGGAGATCCCCATAGATACAGATAGCAGATCCTCGCTAATACCTCACCTCTCGCTGAGGTCTGCCATTTAGCTAAGTTCCCCCCAGAAACTGAATGCAGCGATTCAGCTTCTTAAATCTACGCTGGTAGAGGTAACAGCACAACCAGCATTACAGAATGCTGTGTGTGGTGACTGTACTAATGGGCAACAGAACCACATTTCCCCAACGATCGAACTCCCCTGTTTTGACTTGTGGGTCAGACTCAGGAAATGTAACATGTCAGGCCCCAAAGTGCTATTGTACCTATTGTCTGGATCCTGAACACCAAAGTCAATGTGTGTTCTCCACAGTGAATAATTGTAAAAAAGCACTAATTAGGGCGGCCAGCTCTGGTCTGGGACATTCCTGGAAATTTGGGGACAGTGCCTTATAGAGGAGAAATTTGGGGAGGCATTTCACCTGGAATCTAACTTATGCCATACAGCCTGCCCTCTAAGGCAGCCATTTTTTCCAGGAGAACTGATTTCTATAGTCTGGAGAGCAGTTGTAATCAGTGTTCCCTCTAAGCTGAGTTAGTGTGAGCTAGCTCACAGTTTTTTAGCCTCCGGCTCATACATTTTTGTCGTAGCTCAGGAAGGATGGGGCTCCAGAGCAAACTAATTTATGCAGCAGCCAAATCGCTCACTCACAACTTTCATGCCAGTAGCTCACAAAGGAGAATTTTTGCTCACAAGACTCCAGAGCTTAGAGGGAACATTGGTTGTAATCCCTGGAGAACGGCAGGCCCCACGTGGAGAATGATAACCCTGCATTTAAATGAACAGAATAAGTGTGTGTGCGTGCCCACACATTCATATGCATTTTTAATAGTGTGTGTAGGTTGCATTTTAGAAGGAGTCATGTGTATTTACTATTTGAATCTGAGAATACTGGTACTTCTGGGGGTGTAATATGCTAAGTTCCTGAGGAGTGAGAGTGACTGTAGTATTCTAGTGGGTATATAATTTTTGTAACAAGGGTGTTGCCAAGGACACAGTTGTGTATCTGCATGTGTGTGAGTGTAAAACTATGAGTCAGTTTGGGACGAGACCTGTACGGGGTGTTTGCAATGTGGCATTTTTTTTTTTTTGTTGGCCTGACATGCTCTTGTTTTGTGCAATGATGGAAGTGTGTGTTCTCTCGGAAGGGCAAAGGGCAGCACGGGCATGTAAACCTCCCACCCTGCACGACCAGGCATTTCCCGTCCCCCAAGTTGCTCTACCCTCTCGCCAACCTTCTGTACCAGCCCTTTTAGTAGCTTCTCTGTACCCTCTTAGGGGGTCCCCAACCGCGACCTCTCTCACCTGCCGGGGCCTGCTCCTTTCCTGGGCCCACACGCAATCCGTAGCTGGAGTGTGACCGTTGGGGAATGTTGGCCATTAGCCCAGATGCTATTTGCAAAGATAATTATAGCCAAGAGCAAGATACTATAGGAGAAAGTCAGATGTCACCAGCATTAGAAACCAACCCATTAAGACCCGGTTCTTACAAACCTATTTCTCAGCAATACCTCTTCATAACACAGCCTCACATTCCTCTTGGCATGCTACTTTTCTGTAAACTGAGTAATAATAATAAAAAAAATATACAGCCCTGACCTGGATACCCCAGGCAAGCCTGATCTCGTCAAATTTCGGAAGCTAAGCAGGGCTAGGCTTGCCAAGTCCCCCCCGGGGGGGGGGGCGGGGAAACCCCCGCCCCAGAGGCCCGTTCCCCGCCATTGTGTGACAGAGTGTTGGACTGGAGCCCCACCCCAACGTGCATGTCACCCGGAAGTGACGCGACCACGCCGGGCACGCTAGGGGAAGGGCCACGGTCATCCGAGGGAAAACTCTATGGTTTTCCCTCGGATGGTCGTGGCCCCGCCCCCAGCGTGCCCGGCGTTGTCACGTCACTTCCGGGTGATGTGCGTGCGGCGCGCGCTCCAGACACCAGCCGGGAGTCCCCCGCTGCGGCGCAATGCCCGACTTGGCAACCCTAAGCAGGGCTGACCCTGGCAAGTGCTTGGGAGGGAGATCTCCAAGGAATACCTGGGCCAGGACGCAGAGGCAGGCAATATCAAGCCACCTCTCTGAAACATCCAAACCCCACTAGGGGTTGCCAGAAGTCACCATGACTTCCCAGGCAGGCAAGCACGTACACATACACACACACACACACACACACACACAATACTCACCCCAAAAATCATACATAGGAGCGTTCCGTCAGGAAACTTCATTTCGCTTGGAATCCGGTGTAGCCATCATTCCAGTCTGTGCAGACATTTTGCCTGCAGTCTCCTATTGCCAAAACTCACCAGAAAGACCAGCATTTAACAACGATGGAACCCAAGTGTTTCCTCAGATCATAGAGTCAATCCTACAGAGCAGGCTTTTAACCTCCAGGTGAGGCCTGGAGAACTCCCAGAATTACAACTGATCTCCAGACAATGGAGATCAGTTCCCTTGGAGAAAATGGCTGCTTTGGAGGGTGGAGTCCATATGGCGTTATACCTCACTGAAGTCCCTCCCCAGACTCCATCACCAAATCTCCACGAATTTCCCAAGCCAGGGTAGGCACAAGGCCTAGAAGAGCCAGATTGGTGTAGTGGTTAAGTGTGCGGACTCTAATCTGGGAGAACTGGGTTTGATTCCCCACTCCTCCACTTGCACCTGGCTGGATGACCTTGGGCAAGCTGTAGTTCTGATAAGAGCTGTCCTTGAAAAAGAGCCGTTTCTGTCAGAGCTCTCTCAGCCCCACCTCCCTCACAGGGTGCCTGTTGTGGGGAGGGGAAGGGAAAGGAGTTTGTAAGCCGCTCTGAAACACCTTTGGGTAGTGAAGGGCGGGGTATAAATCCAATCTCCTCCTCCTCCTCCTCCTCCTCCTCCTCCTTCTCCTTCTTCTTCCTCCATTTCCTGATTTGAGGTATGCTTTCTATCTGAGCCTCAAGTAGTGTATTTTTAAATAGTTTCCTGGAGGGATTTAACTCTCTTAATTCTCCCAATTTACTTCTTTCTGACTAGTCACCTCATTTTAGCAAAGTTCCCTCTTTTGAACTTAAAGTGATTGTTTTGGACTTTGGGGACAACTTTATATTGACATGACTGCTGAACTTAATAGTACTGTGGTCACTGTTCCCAGCCCATGCAACAACAACAATGTCTTGCACCAGATCTCGAGCCCTGCTCACAACCAAGTCCACAGTCACGGCACCTTTAGCTGTCAGGTTGTCGCCTCTGAGGCATCAGGGAGAATTAAGTTTGTCCCAACCCAGGCACCTGGGCCACAATCATCCGAGGGAAAACCATAGAGTTTTCCCTCGGATGATTGTGGCCCCGCCCCCAACGTCCCCAACGTGCTTGTGTCACTTCCGTGTGACGTGCTTTGGGGGCGGGGTTCTCCCTGGGGGCCTGATCCAGCGGCGGCAGGGAACGGGCCTCCTGGACGGGGGTTTCCCCGCCCCCCGAGGGGACTTGGCATCCCTAGGTGACCCCCAACCATAAAATTATTTTCATTGCTATCATAAGACCATCGAAAATTTGTGTCTTCCAATGGTCTTAGGCGACCCCTGTGAAAAGGTTGTTCGACCCCCAAAGGGGTCGCGACCCACAGGTTGAGAACCGCTGTTCTAGAAGTTCCCCCTGCAGTTTTCTTGTTGGAGGAAAGTGGATGCTTCTGGTTCACGCCACTTTGGAAGAAAAAGGCAGGGTAGAAGGATTTTTAGAGTCCTCGAGCAAATTCAGCATTAATTTAACATTTTAAAATGTTTAGAAATTCACACATCTCTAAAAATATATATATATAATGGAGCCATATAGACTCCATCCTCCAAAAATGGGGAGGGAGGCGGATAGGTTAAGGCCTGGATGATGGATCATTCAGAACGGCCGAATCTGGAGCAAACGGGCAGGGGGAAAGCGCTTCCCTCAAAATGTCACCTAAGAGCCAAATTCTCTCTCTGTGACTTTAGCAGGGGATTCTGGGATACAGATCTCACGCTTGCCAACCCAGTTGTGTCTGAGCTACTTGTACATTTATTAGTTTACTGGGCCTAGGATTATGTAATACAGATTCCAAGATGCTGACAATACACTGAATAAATTGCCATTGTTGGAGGCAGAGCCAGATGAAGGCTTTACCAAGAGGAAAATACTTGGTGGGCTGTTGTTGGCCAGGGCTGTTGTTGTGGCGTTGGGCCGTGTTCCAGGGCTGCTCAGTTCAGAATGTTCCTGAGGTATTTTGTTGTTTGATTCTGTTTAGAGAGGGCATATCACTCCCTCAAACCCACAACAATCTGGATTTGTAATCCCTAGCCAGGAATTCCAGGGGTTTTTTCCCTTTTAGCTACAGGGATTTGGTATGGGAGAAAGGGCAGGTCAGGACTCCTGGGTAGCGTTGCCAAACTCCAGGTGGCACCCAGAGATCTCCTGCGGTTACAATTGATCTCCAGACAACCAAGATGAGTTTCCCCGGAGAAAACGGCTGCTTTGAAGGATGGACTTCATGGCATTATACCCTGTGGAGGGCCCTCCCGTCCTCAAACTGCGCCTCCAAGGTGCCCCCCCCAAATCTCCAAGCATTTTATTTATTTATTTATTTATTTATTTATTAAATGTATATCCCACCCTCCCTGCAAGCAGACTCAGGGCAGTTTACATAAATCTTAATACAATACAATTGAAAACAACTTTAAAATAGCAGTTTAAAACAGAAGAAGAGGAGGAGGAGGAGGAGATTGGATTTATACCCCACCCTTCACCACCCAAAGGAATGTCAGAGCGGCTTACAAACTCCTCTCCCTTCCCCTCCCCACAACAGACACCCTGTGAGGGCTGAGAGAGGTCTTTCAAGAACTGCCCTTGAGAGAGCAGCTCTGAAAGAACTTGTGACTGACCCAAGGTCACACCAGCAGCTGCATGTGGAGGAGTGGGGAATCAAACCCGGTTCTCGCAAATTAGAGTCCACACTCCTAACCAGTACACCGAACACAGACTACCATGTTTCTCTGGTTTCTCTGCTTTTGCCTGTAATGGGAAACAATTCTGGTGGCTTCCAGGGGTGGCTTGGACTGAATCCACAATGTGCTCAGGGTTCTGTTCTGAGTTCCAGGAGTGGAATGGGAGTTAAGTGCTGGGTGTGTCCAGCAGGGAATGTTGAGGCTACACCTCTGGCAAAAGAAAAAGAAAAATCCCCTATTTGTGGTGCATTCATGGGAAAGTGTTAGGGCAATTCCCTTGTTGACCTCAGAAAACTCTTGTTCATGGACCACAATGAACATGAGTTTGGGAACAGAGGGGTTGCAAAAACAGAGAGGTTTTGGAATGACAAATAGAAAAAGGAGATAAAAATGGGAGGAGGAGGAGGAGAAGGATAGGCAAGGAACAAGCGGGGAAATTCCACACTTTGTCGTGCCGCAACTCACTGTTCTGGCAGCTGAATATTATGCTACGCTTTTGAAGTGCCTTAGACCAAGTCAGGCAGTTGGTTCGGTATTGCCTGCTCATCTGGCAGCAGCTCTCTGGGATTTCAGCCAGACTATGATGTTTCCCAACTAGGGATGCCAGCCTCCAGGTGGGACCTGGGGATCCCTGGGAATTACAGCTCCTCTCCAGACGATAGAGATCAGTTCCCCTGGAGAAAATGGATGCTTTGGAGGATGGAATTTATGGCATTGTGTCCCACTGAGGTTCCTGTCCTCCCCAGGCTCCATCCTCAAATCTCCGGGAATTTCTCAACCTGGATCTGCCAATCCTACCCACTCATCTCCCGCCCGGGGGGGTGGGAGGGCACACCTGGCAACCTTATTCCCAACTGCTCCTTCCAGTTTGAAGCCAGAGATTGTCGAGGCAAAAACATTTACTCACCTAGCATCGAATCTAAATTGGACTGCAATGTTCCCTCTAAGCTGTGGAGTCCTGTGAGCAGAAATTCTACTTTGTGAGCTGCTGGCATTAAAGTTGTGAGCAAGCGATTTGGCCACTGCATAAATTAGTTTGTTCTGGAGCCATCCTTCCTGAGCTGAGACAAAAATGTGTAAGCCAGAGGCTAAAAAACTGTGAGCTAGCTCACACGAACTCAGCTTAGAGGGAACACTGACTGCAGCCTGTGCCAAGCACGGACATATGCTTAACTATTTATCTATTTGCTTCATTTACATCCTTTTCTCTCAAAGTGAATTACATGATTCTCCTCCATTTCATCCGTACAACAACCATGTTGTGGGGTACATCTGGTTGAGAGTGTGTGACTGGCCCAAGGCCACCCAGCAGGCTTCCATGGCACAGTGGGCATTCGGACCTGAGCCTCTCAGGTCCTCAGACTGTACTTTAACCACTACACCAACCTCCTCTCCAGCTACTATATGGTAGATCTATAGGTATCGGGTTGATA